GACCGATTTGGTCCAACTTTTTTAAGGAGGTTTGTGGTCACGTTGAAGTCTTGCACTTCTCACGAATAATTTTTCCAAAATTCAACTGGCATCCAGACACTTTGGAGATACTTCTATTCTCCTTTTTTTCATGGAATATCAGACTTTGGGAAAAATTTGAAGACTTGCCAAAACTGTTTATGGCATGATTTTATGAGGTGGCATACAGACTATCGACAGGCTTTTTGGCCAAAATATGCTATCGCGAAATGTACTACTATTAGGGCTGGTCTGTATGCCACCTCATAAAATCATGCCATAAACCGTTTTGGCAAGTCTTCAAATTTTTCCCAAAGTCTGATATCCCATGAAAAAAAGGAGAATAGAAGTATCTCCAAAGTGTCTGGATGCCAGTTGAATTTTGGAAAAATTATTCGTGAGAAGTGCAAGACTTCAACGTGACCACAAACCTCCTTAAAAAAGTTGGACCAAATCGGTCCATTTTTTTTTATGCCATAAAACACCCGATTCTCAAGAAAACTGTGGCATAAAGTTTTGAACTTTGGTGGCATCCAGACGCACAAACTCTCGAAAAATGGAATATTTCGATTTTGCCAACTTTTCTTCGAAAAACGGCCATGTTATACCATTTTTCGTGGCGACTTTATACACTACTGTACCTCTTGGACAATATCCGGACAATTGTCGCACAACGCCGCATATTTGACGAACTCTCAAAATACCCTAAATAACACGATGAATGGCTTTATGATGAAGACCCTCCCCTCCTTGCCCTGGATTTAGCAGGTTTTTTTGGTACTATTATAGTATCCGTTGGGTTGAAGTGTTCTCTGTCGTTAACTCATCAGCGACCTTTGGCCTACACATGTTCGTGCCTTTTTTCATGTGTGAGGGTCCCCGGCTCCAGTGCCTCACGTGCCTCACCGACCTGCAGGCCCTCCGCGGCTTCCTGACCGAGCAGATCGTCACCGCATGCCCCACCATTCCCCAGCACTCCGACGTCTGACCTTCGACGCACGGGTATATTAATACGAAGTCCGCTAGCTGTAGACGCAAATGATTTCTTAGATAGCTGATGTACGTCACTACAGTACACATAGATACCGGTATAACAATGAAGGAACGCTCCCGAAACTTCACCCCGCGTGAGCAGGTGCAGCTGTTGAGTGCCTCGCTCGATCTAATCGTCGGAAATGATCAAACTGCAAGTCATTTCTAAAAGCCCGAGTACTGCAGCGTATAACAGTAGTCCCGAATGCACATAGAGGTACCGGTATAGTGAATGACAAGCTGATTCGCTACGTGAGGGCAACGGTAACATTTCCAATACTGTACTATAGAACTGGTGATGGTCTGTCTCTACATTCACTGAAGAGTCCCATGCAGCCGAATCCATCACGAAGCAAGTGCAATCTGTTTTAAAGTTACGGACTTCGGTGCGATATCAAAACGAGTCCAGTAAAATTTGCCCTGTTAATGGCGCCAGTAACTCGCTTATCCGAACAAGTTATCCGGATAATGGGGTCAAATTTACTGACTTATTTATGGAATTCGTAGGGAGATTGCGTACGATTTCATATTTAACCAATGAAAACACTCCTGTACAATGATTGGATAATTCAATCACAAATCCATGTTCATCGCGAAACACTATTGACAATCAAATGCAAGCTGCATGATACGAGTACTATTAGTACAATTATGCGACGAGGGAATACCATAGTCATGTAGTACGTGATATTAACGATATTCCTGAAGTTTATTTAGGGCGTGTTTGGAGCGACTTTTGTGTCAGCGGTTTTTGGAAAAGTAGCCAATCAAAATCGTTTCCATCGACTTTTGCAAAAACCGCTCTGCTCCTTGAGGTCGTTTACAGCGACTTTTGGGATTGTGGCTATTTATTGGGCAAAAATATCAGAATAAATTGTTGGTTGCAAACCAAAATTTCGCAGGAGCACGCCCAAAGCACACCCTTGTCGGTTGCCGGTGGTTCGTTACTCCACTCCGGTGTGTACTGGTAGGTCCTCGACGGGATAACTTACCCATTTGAAGCACGGCTGTGGTAAGTCATTTCCATGTCGAGGGTAGCTGCACACAGAACGCATCGAACGCTGTACACATGCCCCTCCCGCGCGACCTCCTATTTGTACTGAACCCTAGGCTCTGTGTATTGTAAAGTGATTTTAGATTAGCTAGGCGTTGATCTTATGGGTTGCGCATGCCCAGAGTTAGCAGTGATGACTGCACGACTCCTTCGGGAAGGAGAAGGTCACACGGACGCACAATCGTTTGACTTTTCGAGGGGCTTCATTCGAGTAACGAGCATTGCTTATAGCACCAATCCTCGATATATTTCACTAAAGACTGCCGTGTAGGAGCTGCGCATCCACATTCCATGGACACAGATCCTGTCGCAGCCCATCGAGATCAAGCTGTACACGGTAGAGTTGATCCTCAGGTTGAAACACATAGCATTGTCGGTCGGTTTGACCTTTACCGGTGCGCCATTAACGTGGCAGTCTATATTTCCAAGCCGCCGACTTACGACTGACTTGCGTAGATACATAGTTCTAATGCGCTATATCTACTCTACGTCGTTTCGCCACTCGCCGCCTGAACATTTGGCCACCACAGCCACTACGCGACAACAATTTTCTGCGCTCCGCTGTCATTGAGCTGAAAATGGACAATGAATTTTAGGACGCATCATTGGTTGATTTTTCTCTGTTATTAACCAATGTCAGTGAAGGCTTGTGGAAAAAGCCAAAAACCGCAGACACAAAAGTCGCTCCGAACACGCCCTTATGCACTTGAATTGGAGAAATGTAGATGGGCCACTGTCAACAACTTGACCCGTTAATAGTTCAATACTTGCTTCATAACAGAGATATCCTTATTGTACGGGACTTGTGTGCTTATGGCCCACACAAGAATTCCATAAAGTCTCGATTCACAAACGCGTCCAGCTCGACTGTCAACAGATCACTTTAACTCTCCCGTAACGATCGCTCCTTCCTACTACGTACTAATATAACGCAGCCTAACTTGCGTACTGCTAACGATACATACCTAGTGCTACAAATGGCAATACTGTACCACTGGGAAGCCTCACATTCCCCTTTGGCAGGTGACCTGTACAATAGAGGAGGATTGGTCAGTTGGAGTCCGGCAATTTGTGATTTTCTTGAGATCTCATTGGATATGAAAATCATAGGACCAGCTCCCTACGATTTCGTCAATTCACAAATGAATTGCGAAAATTTATGTTTGCTACAAAATTCGTATATAACTTGGAAAAAATTTTGAGGTTGAGGATTTCGAAAAATGGTGAAATCGTAGGGGTGTGCGCCTACAATTGCATACAAAAGTCAAGTTCTGGCCTACGCATTCCGTAGAATGGCTCTTCATGAAAAAGGAATTTCGCATCCGGTTAGTTGGCATCCTCCGGATGATGGAATCAATCGTGTGGCCATTTGGAATCGACAGCACGCGTAGTGACGATGGACGTGGGAAATGACGTTATTTGATACTGTTGAGTCCTCTGGCGCTACTCCTTGAACAGATCCTAGCGTCGGGTGGCCCGATGAAAACTACAGAGAATGTATCTGATCCCATGTAGTGTAGTAGCGCTACCTGGCTACGTAGCTATAGTAGACTTGAGAGTGCTTATTGCATTGCTGTACGTCGGTATGCACTCCGAGGCATCATTCGTTATTCAAGCTTGCGAAAAGGCACGAACTTGACGTTGGACTTTTGGTTGGCCACAGGGCCAAACGTGGATTGCCCGAACCGGCAGAACTCGAACGAACGTTCGGCGGTCGGGACGTTCAAGTAGTTGAGGATGCCAGTCGACATGGACGGCACAACGGGCAGCAAGAGGAGAGCTACAGTAGACATCGACTTCATGCTTTCATCTCAAGAGAAGAAATCGCCCCACGTACCACTGACACGCACGGCTTCAATCGACAAGAGCAAGGTCGTATCCACGAGTTGGCGCTTGACCTTAGCTTCTTCCGAGTCGATGGCCAGGGTTTTCAGTTGCTTGGCCACGACCCACGGCTCGTGTTTGGAGAAGTTGCGGTTCACTTCGTATAGTAGCCCCATGATGGTCTTGGTCACAAGGGCAAACTGCACTTGCCATGTTACAATATGTTCGCATGGCAGTGGTGATTGACGTACATCGGGGCGTTCGTAGTGGCACTGGACTTGCTGCACAGTGTCGTTGATGCGATGGATCAATTCCAAGTCGTCGGGCGAGAAGTCGCCGCCACTGGGGACGTTTCCCTGCGGCAGGAAGGCCAGCGTCGTGCATCGGATCACTGCCCCAACACAGCATGAGTCAAGATGCATACAACGAGATTGTGTACCGAGGTTGCCGAGGGTATCAGCAAGCTCGTTGTTCACGTGCTCCTTGAGCATGCCTTCGTTGAAGTCGCCGTCGTCGGTCAACACGCCTTCCCGCAGCAAATAGTACCGCACTGCATCCAACCCAAACTACAACATACAACCTATCGACCTGTATTATATACACTACAACCAAGTACCTTTTCGATGATCGCATCAGGAGTTACGACGTTGCCTAGACTCTTGGACATCTTGACGCCGTTCACAGTCCAATGGGCATGCGCGACGATCTTGCGCGGCAGCGGCAACTTGGCTGCCAAGAGGAACGCCGGCCAGTAAATAGCATGGAACTTCAAAATGTCCTTGCCCACAATGTGGTACGCTGCCGGCCAGCACTACTCATGTCACCGCTCGTGTTGGGACTGAACAGTAAACGAACGATATATATGATGATGAGTATATGTACCGATTGGAAGTGCGCCATGTCGGTGGGGTACTTGCAACACGTGAGGTAGTTGGTCAATGCATCCAGCCACACATATACGGAGTGGTTGTCGTCATCTAGACAGCATCATCATGTCCACGATGGCATTTGCAGGAAGAAGTAGATGCGGCTGTACCTGGCACTGGAATAGCCCATGCGATCTTTTCTCGCAGCCGAGACACGGATACATCGCGCAGACCGCGCTCGACTGTCGCGCGGACCTAATGCCTCCATGTTACATGCCTCGTCAAGGATTCCATGTCCGTACTTCGTTGTAGCGCGACGGGGGCTGCACCACGTCCGGATGGTCGTCGAGCCACGCCAGGAGCTTGTCTTGGAGTTTGCTCAGTCGGAACTTGTAGTTTTGTTCCTTCACCAGCTCCACGGGGTGGCCAGACTCTTTGGACACGATCTGGCCGTCGTCGCGCGTGTCCACTTGCATCTCGGTCAAGAACGTTTCATCCGAGATGCAATAGTACGCTTCGTGCTCGCCCAAGTAGATGTAGTCGTTCTCGACCAACGTCCGCCACATGGACGCCACGGCGACGGCATGCGACGGCTCCGTCGTCCGCACAAACCGGTCGTACCGAATGTCGCCGCTTGCGCACATGGCTTGGAACGTCGCCGCAACGTCGTCGCAGAACTGGCCAGTAGGCTTGCCAGCCTTGTCGGCTGCTTGTTGGACTTTTAACCCGTGCTCGTCTGTGCCTGTCGTGAACAGCGTTGGTTCGTTGCGGAATTGAAACCATCGACTGAGTGCGTCGGCCATCAAGGATGAATGCAAGTGGCCAAGGTGCGGCGACGCATTGACGTAGAAGATGGGTGTCGTGATGGTCGTCGTTGTGGCCGTAAATCGGACGATGGGGTGGTTACGCTGAGGTCGCACTGCAGCACCCGATCGCGGCAGCAGCGCTAAACGGCGAAGCAGCATCAGGTGTCGTTGCTTCAAACCAAGAATTGATTTGATTGTATTGTTTTGGATTTTTACAACAATAATTAAATCAATAGCAGTGCTGAATATGAATGTCTTATGTGAATTGCACGTTCGCTAAATTAATTCGGAAAGGTAACCAGCGATATTTATAATCAACCTTGCTGGAGCATGAGCGATGATGACGGTTCGTCCGGCGGTAGCGACATTGACAGTGTCGGCCTGATACCGTCCGACAAAGAAGGAGTGAGCGATGCAGAGAGTGTAGTGAGAACGCCCAATGTAGATGATGATGACTCATCGGACGACGAACCCCTGAGCGTGTTAAAGCAAGATGTCAAGAAGCGGCTGCGATCCCAGAATCGAGACGAGGACGAAGAGTTGGCGTTGGCAGAAAGCAATTCCGAGGACGAGTCACGACGAGATGAGTTTGTGCGCGATTACTCCCGCGAAGGGGACCTGGAAATGCTGCACATGCCGCGCGCGACCTTTCCGTTTCCAAGTTACATTCGTCAAGCTGCAAACCAATTGGACCCCCATCGACATCCCCTCGCGGCAACACCATTGAAGTTTCTTGCAAGCCAGAACCTTCAGCTAGTTCTCTCTCGGCACGCCCCACTTCCGTTAGCCAGTACTACCGCAATGCCATCCGGTCCCACGCGCAAGCGCATGGCTTCTGTCGACGATGTCCCAACGAAGGCAAGAGGAGACTCGTCCAAGCGACCAAAGCCCCCTCCATCTCCCACTACCAGCAGCCGCAGCAGCAGTGACGACAACAATAGCGCTGACGAAGGGTCCATACCAGCCACGTCGTAACTCCCCCACCAACGAATCGAACTCTACCGAAAATAGCTGTGTTCAACAGTACTATGCTTCACTTTGCATTTCGATTGTACCCAAGCAGCCAGCCCCCCCGTGTCATCCCAATGATACCAGAAAACACACACGATTTCATGGTTCGAGTGATATTACTCATTGCACCACGTCACAGAGATCAACAACGTCCGTCCACGCTACAGCGTCCACAGTGTACATATGTACGTCGTGGGAGATGATCCGACTTTTTGTATCAGTTGTCAAACAACTGCTCAAAGATGCCTTTGAAGAGGTGGATGCCGCGCACGAACGTGTCCTTGTGCAGCATTTCATTGTGCTCATGCAGGAGCACCTCGGTGTTGTTCATGGGCGAGAACCCGAGCGCCGGCACGCCCAGCTGCCGCAGGAACCGGCTGTCCGTGGCGGCGGGAAACACATCCAGCTCCACGTCCATCCCCAATTTCTACAAGCCCCCCTCGTTTAGATATCAATGCTACAAGCATGCCATTCCTCGTCTTCTTACCGCCGCCACATCGAGAAATTTGGCGCACAGGGGGTTGGTCTCGTCTTCTACCGATGTCACATGGTGCTGATGCAGCGGATTCTTGGATACAAACTCCCACGACACGCCTTCGGCACAGCACCATTCGTCCAGCATGGCCTACATACACACACTTTACTGTGAGTTTGAACGTGAGTTTGGGGGGGGGGTGTATTGTAGTGCCTTGAACGCATCCAAGTCTTGGCTCGGAGAGATGCGAATGTCAAACCCTGCCATGGCATCCGTGGGAATCACGTTGAGCGCAAACGTGCGGCCGCCGTCCGTGGTCACGCCGCTGCGCAGCACAGTCAAGTTGACGGTGGTCACGTCCCCGAGCTTGTTTTTCTTCATCTCGCCGTGCTTGCATCCACATGACGCGCCAAGAAGGTTCTCTTGGTCATCGCGAAACTTGAGCGCCTGCGACACTGTAAGGCTTTGATTTTTGACGAAGATGGAACAATGTCCAGCAAAACCAACACATGTAAATCGATTCAAAATTGGAGTGGAACAATCGATATATGACCAATCAAAACCCACAACACGAATCAAGTAGCCAATCAAATTATCCACTCGTCGACCAACGCAACATCGAATTAGTGTGTGACTGAAATTAGTGTGAGATTGGACGACCTACAAAAGTCAGTACCAAGAATCGATCGATAGATTTGGCAAAGAATCGGCACAAAAGTCCAAATATTGGGGTAAAAGAAAGACAATCAATACCTTGTTGCAAATGTCAATCAACTTGATCGTGGCCGTGTCCTTGATAAAGCGACTGCCGTGGCCCGTCGGCCCTTCCGCCTTGACGTACAGCCACCAAGGCGTCCGCTCGCCGTAAAACACTACAGTATGGCGTTGATTTATCGAGGTCACAAAGTAGAAACAGGAGAGGATGAGTGAGTGTGGTGGGTACCGGTGAACTTGTTGGTGGGGTTGGCCAGCCCTTCGTCCAGGGCCAGCGCGATGGGAAGCATGGCTTGGTACTGGTTGGATTTGAGGAACTTGCCCATGCCATCGGAGCCACCGATTTCTTCGTCCGGGACGTAGCTCAAGTGGATGTTGCGCGCAGGCACGAACCCCGTCGAGTGCAGCAGGCGCAAGGCCTCCAGGTATTGCACGCACACGCACTTCATGTCTTGGGTGCCACGGCCGACGATCATTCCGTTTTCCAACAGCTCTCCCTACATCAACGAGTCTGCATGTGGGTGCCGTCTCGACCACAACAGATGCGGACGGACGACTTCGTCTTACCCCAAATGGCTCGTAGTTCCAAAACTGCTCCATCACAGGCACCACGTCGTAGTGCGAGTTCAAGAGGATGCTGGGCAACGACGCGTCCTTACCTTTCCACGTGGCCACGACGATGGGCTTGCCTTCGACAGGTGAAAACTCGTGGATGTCTTCGAGAAATCCGAGCTCTTGCATGTACGCAATCAGCCATGCTGCGCACTGGGAGTGTGCCGTTAGATGAAGGAGTTAATGGGGGGTAGTCACTTACATCTTGGTACGCCCCTTCGGGCCCGTGTCCACTGACCGTGGGAATGCGCAGGAGCTCTTGGAAGCGGCGAATAGCTGCGTCCTCGTCAAAGTCATTGGGGGTCATCACCATGCTGAATCAAATTCTGGCGCACGAAAGAAGGTGCGATTGTTCATTGAGTTTTTCTAGCCAATCATATGTTGTAATTTTGCTAACTTTTAGCCAATCATAACGGCAAAATCTCTTCCGACCTTGCACCCATATTATTAATAACGTTACTACATTTCGTTACCACAACGTTAGCGATCTTCTTAGAACTACCCGGTACTATACGCATTGCTGGGCTCATGGCGAAGAGCAGGCGTACTAGTAGTACAGTGAATGCACCGGTGCTTCCCGCGTAGGAACAAACCCTGGTTTCATGTATAGCATCGTCATACAATTCGTTGTCGAGTATTTTTCGTCAATAATATTTGGACATTTCTATTCCATAAAATGATTGGATTGGGCTGATGATACTACCAGTAGTAACGTAAAAAACCAGTTTACTGTTAAGATAACTTAACCTGTTAAGATAACTTAACCAATTTAGGATAACTTTGTAGTGCCCAATCACATCTCGTTATTTGTTCGAGTCAAAACCTCTGTCATATAATGCTTACCATTCCGTCACGTGAATGAAATGCAAAAACGCCATTGGTAACAGTCATTCAAGATTGGTTTTGAAGTACACTAGTCGACACGGCCCACATTGGGTTGGATCTGAGGTCTTGTCGAGTGTAAACTCGGTACAGTAGACATCCTTCCACAACAGAAATTTAACTCTATAAAACAATACCCTTTTATAAATTATATAAAACCTGTTGAGCGGCTTACCCTAAACACTGAATTTCAATGCTCCGACACATACATACTTTAAGATTATCCTAAATTCGTTATCAAAATGTGAGTACAAATGCTTATAAAATAACAAATTTACCTGTGAGTTCATCGCCTAAACTGATAATTCGATTATGAAGTGAAAGCGGCGCGTCTTGTCTATTTTGGAATCACTATTCAAATGAATGACTGTGCTATATTTTTGTGAAATGAGCAAAATTGATTCGGATGGAATCCTACCTACTTCGAAGTATTAATAGTACGTAGTATTAATACATGTTATTCCCGCAATAATGGGAATTATTCAGATATTATTTTCTCACCTCCCATTTGAAAAGGGAATTCTCGGTCAGAATATGAGTTGACATAACACTTTCTGTGGTATCCAGACTCGACCTTAGCAAATAAGCTATCCCCCCTATTACTAATAGTACATAGTACATAGGACTAGTATACACCCCCCACCCACTCCAGTCTACAAGCATCAACATGACGTGCATGTTGTGAATACACACAAGTGTTCCGCCCTAGTTACTGTAGTTTTTACCCCCCCTTGAGGATCTCACTGGCGCGATGCCGACAGCGCGGCCGTTTTTGCAATACGAGTCGCGTCAAGTGGAGTTTCAGCTGCTCCTCTTTGTCCACCTCTGGGCACGCCGTCAAGTCCAGGCCAACACTCGACGCTTCTTCGTCCAGCGTGAAGTACCGGCCTTGGTTGAAACTCTGCGTGCTGACACCGGCGTACTTGACATGCGTCCCGCCTCCCACGGACTGCGGTCGCAGCTCCGCCCTATTAAGCCTATAGATATGCCATGATAAACAAGATGGAACGCACCAAAACATGCGATTCCGCTGCCGGCGCGTGTGATGGTGATCGGGCTGGGTCTCGTCGTCGACGATCTGCTGCACCACAAACACAGTCTTGTCTGGACCCTCATGGAACTCTCCGCCGAGAAGCGACATGAATTCGCCGCTCTGGGGGACCACCGCTTGATGCAGCACGGTCGTGTCTGTGCTTTCGGCGAGTGACTAGTCGATACACACATACCGTATGACGTGGCACGGTCACAGCCAAGACAAAGTACCTCGATGGGGGCATTGCCAAATTGATCTGCCATCAACACATCGACCAAATGATGCCGATACAAGTCGAGCACTTGGTGCGGCGACGCTGCCAACGTCACTTGGCGATGGACCGAGATATTAATGAGCCCCTCGTGGAAGGTGACGTCGATCGCAGAAAGGTCTTCGGACGGTGAGAGCGGGAAGTTTTGAAACATGCGACCGGTGTTGTGGTACAGCTGCCGCGTAATCCATTCTTTGCCCAGGCGTCGCGACTGCGGTTCCGCCAGCAGCGTCGCCATTCTCCACGATGGCGCGGTCGGGCTCAATGAGACCTATACAACCCATCCATCGATCCATGGGGAGTGGGGAGGGAGTGTCATGAACGTACCGTAACATGTTCGCACGACGCGATCCATCGGTACATGTGGTCGACGAGACCACGGTACACATCCACTTGGTTTTGGAGTCGCTTGGTCTCGCCCGAGGACACATGCACGCCCTCGCGCATGGCATGTGAAACCTCTCGCCAAGACAACAGCGTCGACGATTCCTCGCGGGCAGATGCCCGACGCACGAGCTCCGCCATGTGCGCGGACAGTTCGTGGATGCGCTTGATCAGATGCTCGCGACTCTGGCGATGTTCGTCTCGGTAAATACGCATCATCTTGCGAATGTACAGACGCTGTTTCATCTTCTTGTCGAGCGCCGTTTGCACCGCCACGGGGTCCACAGGGGGCACTGGTGTCGGCGGCGGCTTTGGCGGAGCATTCATTTTTGCTTTCTTACTGTAATTTAGTGGGTAGGCAGGCACACTGTCGAATGGACTGCGTTCCACTGTACTTGGAAATGGAAATAGCACTATCCGGATCCGGATGAATGGAGTGAAAGCCGAAACCGCCACGAAATTGAACCACTGCAATAATGTGATGGGTTTCATGAATCTCTGTGGTTTCTCGGGGCAGAGAGGTTTGGAGGGTTCCAGGGCTACTGCAGATGATCCGCACAATATTGAATATTCGCGATATTCAATATTGTGCAGAATTACATGGGAAATATCTTATTCAGTAGTTACCACTGTGAAGTCTAGTTGGCGTGGTAGCTAGCGCCAACTCTCACCGGGTGCTGCACTATATGTGTTTACACTACATATTCAGCTAAACGGGTAAAAATGAACATATTTCAAGTACAATACAATGTGACAATGTGACGTAAATATATCCATACAGTGTATACATATCCACAGGAAGTTGTAGCATACATACATTGTGGGTTCTTACTCTTGTGGATGTGCACTGAGCAGTTTGCATGTTGAAAGTCGCCGTCCTCGTTGCCACACGATTGGATTAACTAGTTAGCACAAGGAAAGCCAACACTACCATGCCATGGACGTATAAACTTCGGACGTCCGAATCCTATTCATTATTCGTTGTGAACATGAAAATGCGCTCGACATACGAAACTCACGTAACGGATGGTGGCGGTTTCTAATTCGGTTGCGCGAAACGCCCGTTCGACGTCAACCCAGGTTTCAGTGCCCGACGATGAGCCAGGATATAGGCGCAGAGCCCACGGCGATCACAGTCATGAGTCGACGGCTAAGCCGCGCCTTCAGTGGTAGCGGACTCCACCAGACCAGCACCGGCAACTCCAAACAATTTGCCTCTGTGACACCGTACACACCCAACAATCGATTGAGCTTTGGAATCGTCTCAAATCGCAACGCGATAGGCTACGAACCACAGGTACAACGACCCGTAGAACCCAACTACATTGACCGGTGGCATATGCTTGTCACACAGAGGAGAGCATCCAACACCCCTTCAACGCGCAATAGCAACGTCATGGCGCTGCGGGCCGTGGCCAAGCTAAATCGAAACTTAAAATCCGCACAGAGCACGAAGAAACCCGTGCAGAAACTGGATGTCGAGCGGCACTCCAAAGTGCTCGAGCAGTACACGATCCGGCAATACAAAACTACCACCACGTCCGTCGTCACCCAGGACTTTCCCTTGTTTCTCGTAAGCCCCGCGGCCACGTGGTACAAGATCTGGCAACTGGTACGAATGTGACCTGTATACATACTCCATACATCGCTCTGATTGAGTGGGATCTTGGTCGTGTGAGTAGTTTACGCTGATGCTGATTGTGTACCAAAGTTTTCAAATTCCGTTCGTGTTGGGGTTTGGTTCGTCCAACAACGCCGGGGCCAACAACAATCCGTTCCATGACTACGAAAGCATCGTCGTCAACTCGATCTTTGGTGTCGACTTTTTGCTCAATTGCAACACGGCGATCCCAGATCCGACCGGACGCTCCAACTACTACATCACCCACCGCCTCACAATCATTTGGAACTACCTGCGTGGATGGTACGTCCAAGCCACCCGTCGTGTAGCTTCCCCCCCCTCTTTGGTGTTTTCATCTATCCCGTTGGATCTCTACTGCATGCATCACTTAGGCTATTCTTGGACCTGGCCGCTTGTTTTCCCATTGACATTGTCATGTACGTGTCTGTAAACGGCGGCAGCGGCGTCGGCGGCAGCTTGACCTTTCTAAGTCTCCTCAAAACCGTGCGGCTCCCCCGGCTGCTTCGACTCGCAAGGCTCGTGCGCATCCTAAAGATCTTGCAAATCCCCCCCGAGTACAAGCGCTGGCTGCTCTACTCGCGCTACGCCCACCTCATCCGGCTCATCTCGACCATCGGCGTGTTCTTCTTTACCATCCACTTGTGCGCGTGTGTGTGGAACGGCAGCATCGCGTCCGACACGTGGAAGGACATGTTTCCGTCCATCCAACCCGGCGGCGTGGACGACTACGTGCTGAGTTTCTTCTTTTGTCTGTCGACGTTCTTGGGTCAAAGCATGAACTTGCACTCGCAGGACGAGTTTGTGTTTTCGATCACGCTCATTTTCTCGGGTGCGCTGCTCATGGCGGCAGTGTTTGGGGACGTGGCCGTGTTGCTCGCCAACTTTCACGAAAAGCAAAACGAGTACAAGAAAAAGGTTCGTCGGTTCGACCGCCGTCCAAAACATTGTTTATCACGTGGTGGTTGAACATATATTAATTCGTATAATCTTTTATACTGGTAGATGGAATCGCTGTTTGCATGCATGGGCACGATGAATTTACCCCTCGACCTCCAAAACCGCATCAACGAATTCTACCAAACCATGTGGGACGTCCATGCAACGTTGGACGGCCAGCCGGCGACCCTCACGACCGAACTGTCGCGCAACTTGGCGCTCGAAGTCGAGTTGTTTCTGCGCATGGATATGATCAACCGCGTGCCGATCTTCCGGACGTGCAGCAAGCGCGTGGTGCAAGAGATCGTGATGAAGCTGTCCATGGAGGTGTTCTTGCCTGGGGACTACGTGGTCGTGAGGGGGGACGTCGCGTTCGAAATGTACTTTGTCCAGACAGGCATTTGCGAAGTCACCAACGGCGGGCGCGACTCGTCGTCCATGGCCTGCCTGACCATGGCCGTGACGGACGTCGACAACGAATCCGTACTCCGATTGCTTCGCCAAGGCGACTTTTTCGGCGAAATTGCCCTCTTGATGCAGTGCAAACGCACAGCCAACGTTCGCGCCAAAACCTTTGCAGAGCTGTGTGTGTTGACAAGGGACGTGTTCGAGTCCATCACGGCGCGGTATGTGGAGGACCGAGCGCGAATGGAGACGCACATCACGGAAAAGTACGACCCGGCGGTGCTCCAGCAGATTGCCGAGCAAAAACGAAGGGGGCACCCAGCCGCTCAATCGGATGCTTCTCCAGAGAGGAACCGTGCTGGGCCGACGATGAGCCAACCCGTGCTGGACGCGGTCGTGTCGTTGGGGGACCGCCTCACGCAGATGGAAGCCAAGTTTGCACTCATGGAAGCGAGGCAGGAAGCGTTTCTGGCCGAAATGAGACTTGCGATGGGGTTGGCGGCGCCGTCATCGCTGTCGTCCCCGAGGTACTCAGCGATAGCCCGCCAGCTGTCGAGTCGAGATGCGCTTGACAATTGTTCATCCGACGAAGACGACGAAGGTGCAGCGATGGTCCTACCCCCGAAATAATCTTTGGTGAAGAGAGGCATCGACAGCCATCAAAACTTATTGTGTCCAACATGAGTACAGTAGTCGTTGCATGATCATTCGTTCGTGGGACAGATGTATCGGTATACCAACAAGTACAGCTGTACGATCTGGTCAAAATGCTGGCATACCGTACCGTACCCATACTATCAATATCAGTTTTCGAACTACGTACACCGTACTACAGTAACATGTAAGGTACACTAACCCATCCATGTTCACCTTATCACAGCAATACAGTAGTACTGTACATGTACGACCGCCTCAAATTTCTGCTTAACGTTACGGAATGATGACATTTCATTAACGGCAGTTCTATTCACTTGGTATGACAGTATAATGCGACATCAATACACTACAGAGCCTTAGCAGCCAGGGCGGCCGACAAGCGACGCCTTCTTGATGTGCGTGATCAACGGAAACTCGCGCTTCAAGTACGCGTCGCCTTCGGCGTAGATCTTGTCCTGGTCGGGGGCTTCGCCGTACGCAGCGTACGTTTTGTTTTGAAGAATGTCGAGGCCTGCCGTGACCTTGCCGAACGGTGTGAACCCAAATTTGTCCAAAAATGAGTTGTTGGCAAAGTTGACAAACAGCTGCGTGGTGCGGGTGTTATTGCCCGCGGACGCGTACACGAGCGTGCCGACCGTGTTGGAGACCACGCCCCACTTGACATCCTTGATGTCGGTGTACTTGTTGTTCTTGGGGTCGGCGGCGATGCCCCACTGCACGACAAACTTGGGCACGTACCGGAAGAACCCTGCGTTGTCGTAGAACTTGTCTTCGATGAGCTGCTTGAACTGCGCAGCGCCGAGGGGAGCCCATGCGGAATTGATCTGCATACAAAACCATGGGTCTTCTTCGTGATGGAATATAGTAACGTGGCTACAACGTTTTGACCAGGGAGCAAACCTTGGAGGACAACTGTACTTCAAAAGTGACGTCGCCTACTTAGGTCTCGTATAAGACAGAGAAAACTTCGGCTTTGGCGGCGGCGGCAACCACAAGGACGGTACACGACGCCTTCATGGTCAATTTGAAGATGATCCGAGGAAGGTGGGGCAGCCACGCCCCCTGGCTCAACATAATCGTAGGATCAGGTTTGAGTCATATGATATATATAGATATTCCATGTGGTTTCCCCCGTTATTGAGGCTGTCCTCGATCGCAAATTCGTTGTGCCCCGCAATACCAAGCCCTTCGCGAGTAATTTGGGTATACCCATCGAAAGGAACCGCTCCCTTGTACCCCCTTGTTGCAAGCGCATACTCCACATAGACGGTGACTCACAAGCAATACCACTGCTGAAGTGCTACGCTGATTAGCTACAGAAGCTAGCGAGCCTGTCTGATTATCTACTCGCCCAATTGTCAACTGTAACTTGGAGACCCGTTTTACAGTACAGTACTGTAACTACACCTCTCGGATTAACCTAGGTTTATAAGGCCCAGTTCGAATTACCAAACTTCCGGAGACTCCTCCAATCAAATCACACAGAGTGTCCGGATAAAATTAATATTATCCAGGACATAAAATACCTCCTGGGAGTCTCCGGACCACAAACAGACAGACAATTCGTTCGAAGTAATTGTGCGATGGACTCAAACGCAGCCATTTGTGCTGCTGTGGTTGCCGCTGTGCAAGCTGTAGTCTCGCACGACGGACGAAACAACCCTGGCGCGAAGGTGCACAAGATCGTTGTACCTAACTCCACATGGGAGACTGTTAAAACCAAATCAGGTTACGACCAATGGTTTCGTCGCTACCTGCAATGTCGGCGCTCAGTGTTCACGACGATAGCACGCAAAGTCGATGCCAAGTGGACCCAAGTGCACGGACGACTGTACCACAACACAGCCATCTTGGTTGACGATCGCGTAGCCTGCGCGATGCACTACTTGACGCATGCCGATGGATACGATGCGACAGCGTTAGTCTTTGGGATCAGCAAGACGATGGCGAGGCGAGAACGTACACGTTGCAAGCTTGCCAGGTTCTATGCCAGTGCTACTTAGCCGATGCTGTTGCCATGCCCACATCTCAAGCTGCGTGGGAGACAATTCGTGGTGGGTTTGAAGACGTCGCTGGCGTGCCAAACGCCTACGGCGCTATCGATGGAACCTTGATACCAATCAAACGGTTTACGGACTATGATGGGTGGTATTGTCGCAAGGGTTTCCCTGCCTTCAACATGCAGGCCGTGGTCGACGACAAGATGCGGTTAATGTCGTACTCGATTCGTTCTGGGAGTCAAAACGACAAAGCCTTGTTCCGTGAGTCACAGTTCGACAAATTCTGCCATCAAAACGTTCCCCGGGGTGGTTGTTTTGTGGCCGACGGCGGGTACAAGTTATACAGCCATATCCTGACGCCGTTTGCACTTCGATTTGGCATGAATGCTGACGAAGCCCACTACAATCTCCTACACAGCCGAACGCGAATGGCGGTGGAGTGTGCATTTGGGCTGTGGAAAAATACTTTTCGTATTTTTCAAGTCAATTTGTTGCATGGGTCGCCTGCCGAAATGGTGTTGCTCAATTCAATATTATTCTTTGGATTCTAAAAACATTAGCAACTTCGCTTGAATTTTATTTCCACGCTCTAAGGCCGCCAAAATCCTTTCGTTCATCACACCTGTTGAAACTAATATTTCCTTCGTTTCCGCCAATAATGTCGCCACTGTAGCAATGCTCGAGTCCGGATCCGAACGAAATGCAGCAGCATCGACTAGTCCTTTAGCCAACACATCGCCCAAGGACACCAGACCGGCACCAATGTCAACCTTGGATTTGGATCGTTGTTGTCGCTGGCTCTCCAAATCATCCACCGCCTTGCGCTTGTCTGCATGACCACTCTTTTCTGTTGGGAATGGAAGATCATCTCCAAACTCGACGTCGCCTAATCCTCACATATCCCCAAACGCTGCAACCATGTCAACCCAGTAAACGGGATAGTCGATTGGGATGTCGGAGTCGTTCCCCGTCGCTGCTTCCTTGATGCGAATAGCCTTGTACTTGGCACGGATGTCGTACTCCTTGTTCTCAACGACGTTGTTGTGACAGCGTTGTCTCCTCCAACAATAATGTTGAACTGCAGGCGCAGAGGTTCCCACAAACTGCACTTCTTTTGATTTGAGTTGCACTTGCTAAAAGTCTCCTTGAAGCGGCCGTACCGGAGCTCGAGCAAAGTAACCACCATATCATCACTGTAAAAGGTCGGTGGCAACGTGACTTGAACTACCTGATCTGCACACGCGGCGGCTTCAACGCCGACAGTTCCATGCATGGCTTCTTGGAGGAGCCGGACTTGTTCCTGAAGGTCTTTTTTCTTGGGTGTCTTTGCCTTGAGCGTCTTGGTCGGGCGAGTCATCTTCAAAAGTGGTGGTTTATCACGACGAATGTCGCCATTGGCGAATCTACGTCCAATCATGGGTCTCATTACTGGTCTATCATCCGGTGACAAAAAAAATTTGCCTTTTTCTTCTGACCAATAAGATTGGAGTTTAAATTTACCTCCGAGGACGGCCCGGAGACGACGAGTACTTCGCACTCCTTTTCATCAATATACTAGTATATAGTTTTACTTCGAACTGGGCCTAACGCTAACAGTTATACTGTAGTATTTTCAATTCACGGTACTCCCTCGCAAGAAATTGTCGAGTAATCTGCACCGCTTGTGGAATCAGGCTGTCCACTGCCTCATTGGGTTTCAGCTCATGATGAAACCGTTGCAGTCGTTTCAGAGAGTACCAAAATAGCAGCGCCGTGTCTTGCTCAACAGCGCCGCCGCCATCATATCCGACACGGCCGCCTCTCCATCGCGTCTTCGGATACATGGACCCCCCATGGCCACAATAGCTCACGCGCCTCCAGCTTCCACTGCAATGACCGACCAACCACATCATCCTGCCAAAATCAACCCCGATACAAGGGAGCTCGCTCGTTCCCTCACAAAAAACGGGCTTGCCGACGCCTCCCTCGACACTAGCGAGGCTCACCAAACGTCCCATTCGATTCTCCAACCGGTCGCGACACCACCTCTGGAGGTGCAGCCGTCGGGGTCGAATCAGT